GTTCAAATCATTATTTTTTCTATAAGACTTTTATTCCCTTTCCATTTAGAAAAATTTAGAGAAATTCTGTCTATCCGCCAGGAAACTTTCCTTTGTTCACTTGAAGTGAGAGTAAAATGTGTTCCTCCCCCCACCCTCCCCCGGTTTGTTTATAGCTTGCACTTGATATTCACATCTGATCTTGTGATAGAGGCGGTCACAAGGGTGTTGGGTAGGAAAGAACAAGAACTTTGGAGTCAGACAGACTGGAGTTCAGATCCCAGCTATATGGATCATTTATCCCTTGAAGGGCCAGATTTCCTTTATGGGGATAGTAGTACCTGTCTTATAGAGATGTTTGTGAGGATTAAATGACATTATTTAAGCTTGTCCAATTTGTGGCCCATGGGCTGCATGCAGCTCAGGATGGCTTTGAATGCAGTGCAAAACAAATTTGCGAACTTTCTTGAAACATTATGAATTTTTTTTTAAGCTCATCAGCTGTTGTTTGTGTATTTTATGTGTGGTCTAAGACAGTTTTTCTTCCACTGTGACCCAGGGAAGCCAAAAGATTGGAAACCCCTGATTTCTTTAATTTTTAAATTATTTAAAAATTTCTGGCCAAACAGAAAACCCAGTAGACACTCCTGATTTAAAGGGTGTCCTGCTTGGCAAATAGTGGGAGCTCAGGAAGGTATATAAACCAAAATTAAAATTGTAAGTCCTTCAACTGGCTGAAGGGATCCTTCTCTCAGCTAAGGGAACCCAATAAAACCTGAAAAACTAGCTTAGACCATGATGGGAAAGTGGGTGGGTGGAGGTCAGACAGGCCTCATTATGCTCCCCTCCCTTTGGAGTTGGCACACAACTGAGCAGCATGAACATTAAAATAGAGATCCTTAGGCTGACAGAACAGAACAGACTCTTGGTAGCAATAAGAAACCAAATTCTAACCTGACTCTTTAGCATCACATAACTGATAGCAGGGCCCTGAAAGACATCAGATTACTATTTTACCCCAAAATATATTTCTTTGACGTATTTTAAAATGGTCCTGAAATGCCGTCTCTAGTAGGGAATGTTTACATTCTGTAGAGAATCCCCTTCCCTTTCCAGGTTTATTTCTGATCCTGAAGAGATTGGCTGAGAGTCTAGTGCCTTTTAAGGATCTGAATAGGAAACATTTGCCTCTGGGGGTGGCCATCTCTGGGACTTCATCCACATAATAAAAACCTTGGTCTCCATAACCGCTTACCTTAACTCAGACACTCCTTTCTGTTGATTTCAGGTCTTTAGATAATAACTCTTTCAACAAAGTGCCAATCAGAAAAGTCTTTGAATCCACCTATGACCTGGAAGTCCCCCACCCACTTTGAGTTTTCCTCTCTTTCCAGACCAGACTGGGATCTACCACATACACATTGATGGATATCTTAGGTCTCCCTAAGACATATAAAACCAAGCTGTAACCTAATCACCTTGGGCACATGGTCTCAGAACCTTCCTGGGCTGTCTGTCCATAACCTTGGCAAAATAAGCTTCAAAATGGGTTGAGATTTGTCTCAGATGCTTTCTGGTTTACAGTGACAACAATAATAATGGGGCATGCTTGTTACGGTTAGCAGAGGAATCCAGGCTTTCAGAGAAAATGGAGGGTTTTTACTCCTAAGAATCGCTGGAACTGCCCTCCCCAGAGCCCCTTAGTGTCTTCCTACCTTTATAAAGCAGTTCTTTCCTCTGTCAAAGATATGGCTCCATTGCCACCTCCGTCGCATGTTTCCTAATAGTCCAGGCTGGATTCTGTTTGTTTCTTCTGTGTCCCTTCCCACAGCATCCATTGCTGCCCTTTATCACTGTACTGTAGTGTAATTGTCTTTTGGGTCTACCCTTTCCACTCAGGTAATTCACTAAGGGCGGGTGACTCCTCCTTCACCTCTGTATCCTCAGTGTCCGGCACAGGCACCTTGTAGGAGCACTGTAAATATTAAAATAGAATAGAATAAGTTTCCACCAATTACTAAAGAGGTGGAAAGGAAGAAACCTCTGGGTCAGGTAGGAGATGCCAGGCTGTGGGATTTGAAGGTAACTCTGTAGGACTGATGCATTTTGAGCTGGGAAGTAGTTTCAAAAGAGGCTTCTTAAGTGGTAGCACTGTACAGAATGGATCAGTGCAGAGAGGAAGCTGAAGTTGGGTCAACCAGCTATCAGTCTGTCCAGGATACTAGTCCTCTTTTGCTTGTTCAGTTATGGATGGGGTAACTAGATGTTTTTTATTTGAAAAGATGAAGTCCTCCTATTGCCTCACACTACACAGTTCTTAGGCATAGCAACAAGATTTGCCTGAGAGATGGGAGCAGCATTTTCATGACACGCATCCTAAGCTTTTGAATAGCCAGACAGATGGTACCCTGTCACCTGTGTGAAGACAGCTTCCACCAAGAAATTCAGTGCATTAGTTGTGATCTCCCTGTGACTCCTACAGTAACTATTTGTCACTTGGTTTTAGATAACTCTGTTATAATAGGGGAATGGATGGAATACAGTTGTTGAGTTGTTGCAAGTTCCTTGAGGGTCTCTTATTTGAAGGGGAAACTCATGCTGCTGGTGGCAGCAGGGTACTTCCTGGTGTGCTCATGGGTTTGGTTAGAAATGGAGGAGAGGTTTTGGATGGGTTTAAAGTCTGGAGACCTAGAATGCTTAAAGTCTGCCCCAAACCAAGGGTACTCACCCTGTGAAGTTCATGAGGGAGGAACTAAAGAACAGTGTGAATGTGGCCAGGTGTAGTGGCTCACGCCTATAATTCCAACACTTTGGGAGGCCACAGCAGGTGGATCACTTGAGACTGTGAATTTGAGATGAGCCCGGCCAACATGGTGAAACCATGTCTCTACTAAAAATACAAAAACATTAGCTGGGTGTGGTGGTGCATGCCTGTAGTCCCAGCTTTTCCAGAGGCTGAGGCTTGAGAATTGTTTGAACCTAGGAGGTGGAGGTTGCAGCGAGCCAAGATCATGTCAGTGCACTCCAGCCTGAGTGACAGAGCAAGACTCCATCACAAAAAAAAAAAAAAAAAAAAAAAAAAAAAAGGAACTGTAAATGTGAAGCAGAATGTCATATAAGTTGTTTGCCTGACTAGTATCTGACTAAGTCTAAGCTTTTTGGAAGGCTGAGCTGGGACAGATGGTCTATTCTCAGGGTCTGTAGGGTCAGTCTTACCTGCTGAATGTTGGTAAGCAGCCCAGTGCAGGTATGAGATGAAAAATGCTGACTAAGCTGTTCTTTTAACATGCAGTTGTCTCTGTCCATTAGGGATGGTCTTACAAACTGGGACTTCAGCAAAGGTCTTGAAATCTGACTTAATCAGGTGTGGATTTCCCCCTTGAAGAGGATTGTAGAGAACAGAAATGTGGAGTCTTTGAGAGCATCCACTAATGAAGGCCTGTCAACCCCTATCCAAATATCATGTCATTTTTGACCAGGATGTAACCAGGAGGCATGGGTTTGTGATTGAGGTAGCTATAAGGATATTTCCATCTCTCTTGCTTAACTATAAAATGTAGTAAAGTAAGGGAGAGTGTGATCAGACCAAGTGAGAGTTGAAACATTAAGCATCCTGGATCTCCACTTCTCTGCCCTAAAACAGAGATACTAACTCCATGCTTATAGGATCATTGTGAGGCCTGAAGGAGATAGCAGATATTAAAGAGCCATACTCAGGCCCTCGTGCCTGGTCACTCAGGTCTGTGTGACTCATTCCTGATGGTGACAGTGCCCTGCAGTGGTAGGTGACTTTCCACCACTCAGCATGTTTCACTGACTCTTGGTGCCCAGGTGGCTGGCCTGGTGGGTGATAGGGAACCTGGATGGCCATGCCAGCCAGCCATGTGAGTTTATAGGTGGAAACTTCTAGACATAAAGGAAATGTGCAGGGCTTCAGTGATCTTTTCCTCTATACTGTGGTGTTTGAGAACTTTTTCTTTGAGGAATAGTTTTGAAAATTGCATGTGTGGGTGCAGTTTAATTATAGTCTCATTTTTCAAGCACAACTATAGAAGCGTTTGTTTTTTCTTGAGCCACGCATCAGTTTCTTCAAAGAGCTCATCCCAGCCTGCAATTTCCAGGGTTCTGAAGTATTTTTAAAATAAAGTTGTTAGTCTCTTTGAAATCTGGGCTCATGTGCTTCCTTTCAAACAGCAAATGATGACATGCAGGAAGAGAGCAGAGCATCTTTTGCCCAGCTACATTCTGAGCTTTATTTTGTTTTCTTTTGTGATTTTTTTAAAGTCATTTTCCCTGCTGTAGACAGTGGGTTTTTCAACTGTACTCATGTACTCCTTTCCCTAGTTTTAATCCTACTTCTGAGACCCTTCCTAAAGGAAATATTAAAATGCAGATAAAGCTATATGCACAAAGATGCTTATTTCATTTACTTATAAAAGTAAAAATTTGGAAATGACCCAAGCGTCAAATAGAGAACTGGCAAAATTGTGGTAATGCATGCCTACAGTGGAATATTAGTGCAGGCATTAAAAATGATGTTTCAGAAGGAAATTTAGTGAGAGAAATGCTTATAATAATGTAGTAAGTGAAAAAATTATGTTGTAATACGGGATCTTCCATGCCAAAATGCATTAAAGAAAGAATGGAAGGAAATCCAGTAACTTGTCTGGGGGTGCCAGGATATTGATCTTTTTTTGATTCCGTTACTCGTTTTCTGTAATGAGCATATATTCTGTTAGTATCAGAGTTTCAGAGAAAGAAAAAGAACCTGCACCAGCAATGCCTTGTGATTGCTTTTTAGATTCAGTGCTGTCACCTAGAACTAGTGTCAATGCAGTGATAAAGGGGAAGCCTATAGTCTGAATTGTACTCTTGGTAATCCTCCTTTAAATATCCAGGATTGTTATAGAGCATTTAAACAGGTGGAATAGTGCTTCTGCAAATGAATGAGCAGGAAATTATTAGGGAACACTTAAAAACATTTTTTCCTCCTTCTTTCTTGATGTTATTTCTGCTTCCAGGAAAATCAGCTGGAGTGGAAATGAACACCCACACCCAGAATGAACTGATGGAGAGGTGAGTGGTAACATTTGTTAAGAAGACTTTCTAGGACTTTCTAGATCTGATTTACCTGCCAGCTTTTAAAATATTTTGGCCCCTTTCTATTCAATTTGTTCCCTGCTTCTTGTAAATAAAGTATAAACATCTATGCAACTGTCAATGGCCTTACAAAACCAAGAGTTCATGCCATATGTCCTGTTGCCTTCATTCATTCATTTCAGGTTACCTGTGTCACTTCTATTAGGTGATTTGAACCAGATGACATATTCATTTGTTGGCTCCCAGCTACCTGCAGGATAAACTCCAGATTCCTTTACCTGGCATTTGAGGTCCTTCTCAGTCTGACCCCAATTCTCTTCTCCCGTTCCTATATTCTCCTCACTTCCCATCCCCAATGTACCCCATGTTTTAGTCTTATTTGGCTTTGTATTTTCTACACCATGGCTGTGCACTCTACCTTCTTCCTCTTGAAGTTTGAAAATCATTCTTTAGAGTCCATTCATATGTAATGAACCTGGTTCTCCCCAATACCCTCCCTCCCCACCACATCCCAGCATCAGTTATTCTTGCTGTAGCGCTTGGACATAATTACATTACAGCATTTATTACATGGTATTGCAATGCTTTCTACATTTATCTTTCTATTCCCAGAATTCCTTGGAAGAGGAAAGGAGCTTGCTAGTGTTCCCTAGGTATTGTGTGTCAGCAGCTGCCATAGGCATTTCACATTTACTAGTTCTCGCCATATAAGGTTTGAAGTAATTATTTTAGGATGAGGAAGTTGTGGGTCAGAGTTGCATACTTGCCATTACGAGGCAGGGCTAGGATTTGAACTCGAATCTATCACACTCCAGCCAATGCATGTCCTTCCTTTTACTGTTATTCCACATCGAAAGACAATGACTGTGTCTTGAATATCTCTCCCTGCTTCAGCTCTAAGTTTCTGGCATGTAGTTGGAGTTCAGAAAATGTTCATGGAATAAGTGAATTGTATAATTTCTTAGCTTCTCTCTATTGTCAACTGAAAATGCCCAAGTCTTGCCCTCTTTTATTTAGTTTTAAAAGATTTGAATGCTATTAATGTTGCTGTGTACTTTCCCCTTCTTTAAAGATGTGGTCCTTTGGGCTTCTGGGAATAAAATAGAGACCAATCTAGGGTGCAGACTTGTAGATTTTATTGGCATCACGAAGGGCACTAGCTTCATTAGAGAGAGTTGGCAGAGAGCTATCACAGCTCATGGGAGGACATTTATAATCAGAGCTTCTGTAAGTTTAAAAGAAATACTCTTCTCCCACTGTAGTATTGTCAAAGTCCCAGTTCAATTCTCCATTTCCATTCTTGTTGTAATAGATCACATCCCACCGGCATGCTTTAGAGAGGGCAAGGAAGGTTTCCCAGAGTGGGGACATTCATAGCCCAGATCTAAAGGGTGAGAGTAGAAGGGGCTGGGGGCTGTCGGGAGAGCATCCGTGCCTGAGGCAAAGGAGGCATGGTCCTTTTGAGCAGTGTAGCTGGCACAAAGAGGGTCAAAAAAGCTGGAGAGGCAGGCTGGGTTCTGTTGGGCTGGTCCTCATATGTTGTGTTAAAAATCAAAACTCTGTAGGAAGTAGGGAGTCTTCGAAGGAGGATAAGCTGGAACTAGACTTGATCACATTTGACATTTAGGAAGACTGTTGTGGTTGCTTGCACAAGGAGTTGGAGTGAGGCATGGAATCTCTTAGCCTCCTCAACCAGTGTGTCATTCCTTTGCATTTCTGACAGATTTGTTTTTTACCTTCTGTTCTTCCTCTCTCGACTGTAGTTTAGCACTCACATGGGCTACTTCTAAGCTAATTAAGTGGGTGCCCTTGGCCCATGCTGCACTTCTGCAAGCCACCAGCAAGCCTGTGCATCCGTCACACTGTCTGGGCAAAGTCGCATCAGGTGTTTACCTGTTAATGAATGCATTGCAGCCTTGGAGTCCTTTGCTCTTGCCTGAACTCATGAATAATGAGACTGTGACTGCTGACAAGAAGTAATAGGCAAATGTGGGAGAAAAAAAAGAGCTTCAGTTAAGGAGTTTATCTATAATGGAGATTCATATGGGCTTTTCGCAGCATTCAGATTGTTTTTTCTCATGGCTTAGGTGGTCCTTGGGAAATATGGGTTAATAACCAGATGATTGCCAGACTAACGATACTAAACCTGCTTGGGAACCATGAGAGTTTTGAGATTTTTAAATCCTTAGGTCACCTCATGGTTTTGGGCTGGGCTCCCACATTCTCCTGCGTCCTTGGAGCCAGGCAGGCCTGGTTGGAATCTAAACTGTGCCTCTGACCAAGCTGTGAGACAGTGGGCCAGTTTATGATAAGCCCCAGTTCCCCCAGTCTAAATGAGTAATTCCTGCCTCAAAGGGTTTCTGTGAGGCCCAACTGAAATCTCAAGAATGTTTGGTGTAGAGAGGTTATTTGGTAAACAGCTGCCATTGACACATGTCCTCTTGGGTCCCTCCCCTGTAACCCAGGCTGTTGGACAGGCATAATCCCCTGCTTCCCCTTTGTTGGATCCAAACTCAAGCCCACTGAGCCTTTCTTGCTTTTAGAATGTCGTTGCTTAATGTTGTAGAGAAATCAAAGGTCTGAGTTAAGTTGCAAACATGGGGAAGTTACTAAGGGTAAAGTAATCTTAAGTATTCATAAGTCGTAGTCCTGGCTTGGGATTTTAGCATGTGGATGATTTATCTTTCAATTTCAATGGTTAAGGATTGAGGAAGACAACTTAACCTCCCAACACGTTCTAACTGAATCTCCTGAGCCTTCAGCTTCTCATGCGCTCTCTGATTATGAAACATCTGAAAAGTCCTTCTTCTCACAAGACCAGAAGCAAGATAATGAGATGGAGAAGACTTCAGTTATGGTGAACAATTTTTCTCAAGGTAAGCTAAGTCTCATTAAGCATTTTAAACATGGCCTGATTAAAACAATAGTTTGCCATCTTACATTAGTAAGCAGAGTGTGCTGACATTTGAGTATTTCTCTGATGAAGGGAGATCCCATTAGGGCCAGTGCAGGTCATTCAGAGTATCATTTATCACTGGAGAAAGCTATTGATATTAGGTTGCTGAAAGTGTTGGTGACTTGGGAAAAGTCACTTTTATTTTTTAAATTATGACGAAATATATGACTTGCCATTTCCTGCAGGCTGTGTGCCACTGAACCTGTATGTCAGTGCAGATTTGTGAATTTCCTATTGTTTCTTTCAAACTCATCCTAAGGCAGGGTCACTTCAAAGACTCTTCTGTTTTGAGTTGCCGAAGAGTATCTAGCTCCCTGCTCTGATATTTTTATATAAATACAACATTTGTGATTGTGGAAATTGACTTTGTTTTCCTTTGGTGTAGACCCATGGCCCATTGGGTAAGGCCTTTTGTCTTAGTCTGTTTGGATTGTTGTAGCAGAACGCCATAGAATGGGTGGCTTATAAACAGTAGAAATTTATTTCTTATGGTTCAGAGGCTAGAAAGTCCAAGATCAGGGTACCAGCCAGCATGGCCAGGCTCTGGCAAGGGCCTTCCTCCAGGTTGCAGACTGCCATTTTCTTGTTGTATTCTCACGTGGAAGAAGGAAGGCAAGAGAGCTGGGATCTGTTTTATAAGGGCACTGATCTCACTTGTGAGGGCTCTACCCTCATACTACTTTGGTAGATTATTAATCTCCCAAAGCCCTTGCTTCCTAATATCATTACATTGGGGCTTAGAGCTTCAACATAGGAATTTTGGAGACACAAGCATTCAGTCCATAACTCCTTTGTTCTGCCTCTGACCATGGACTGAGTTAGCAGATGAAAATTTTCATAGAGACCCCATGCAGTGTGTAAACGAGAAAAGCATGGAACCTTCATCCTGTGGTGACCTCTGAGGCTTCTTGAGTCACTTAGGATTCAGAGGAGCCCAGTTTGAAGACAGAACACATACCTAGAGTGTGAAGTCCACATTGTTGGTGAAACTCAGGTATCAGCTGGGGTCCTCCAGCAGCATCATCTAGACCTAGTTTCTTGGTATTTCTGGCTGTATCTCTCTGCGGTTTTTGTGTGTTTCTGAGTACTTGGTTTTTCTTGGTTATTTCTGGCTCTGCATTCTGCCTCTCCTGAATTTAGGTCATACCACAAATTGTTTCCCCGTCCCTAGTGCCACTTCCTTCTGTATTGTATCCATCCGGTGTGTAACTCAGTGACTTTCCAAGAATCCCCAGAGGCCACTCCTAGGAGGCCTTTGTGCAGACTTGATTGAGGAACCAGAGGAGAGTGGTGTTTACAACGCAGCAACCAAATGATTTAAACTGGAACACGTGGAATTCCTGTTCTTTTCACTAGGCAGTTCCCTCTTCTCCTTCTTGCTAGCCCCTCTTTTTCCACCCTTCACCGTGTCCCCCACCCCAACCTTGTTCTGTTTCTGATGTAGAACCTTTTAGGCATTTCTTCTATTTTTTATTCCTCTGGGGACCCATGACCTTGGGCTCATTATGCTCTCTTAGTGGGTTACCTGAACTGGGAGAGTGCACCCTGGAACCATCCCAGTAAACTCACTGTTACTTTTTTGGTGTGTCTTCAGCCTTTTGGTCTCTGCATCTGGTTTATCTTTTGTCATATTAGTGACCTATGTAGAGAGATAATTTAGTATTTTTCTTTTTCTCACTTATTATTCTGTCATAAGCTTTCTGACATGTTACATAACATCATTTTTAGTGGCTTTAGAATAGTCCATTGAGTGGTGGAATTGCAGTTTTCCTTCTGTTCCCTGGTTGCTGAACATTTAAATCATTTGCAGATTTCACAATCGTAAACAATGCTGCAGGGGATGTCTGCGAACATGAAGCTTTTGTCTTATTTGGGGGCTTTTTGTAATAGAGATTCTGTAAATTGAAACTGCTAGGCGAGAGAGACACTTTGTTTTGTGGTTCCTTATTGGATGTATGCTTTTAAAGAGTTAGCATTTGTCAAAATGGCATTATTCCGAGAGAGAGAGAGAGAGAGAGAGAGAGAGAGAGAGAGAGAGAGAGATTTTTCTCTCATTTTGTAAAGGCTAGTATAGTGTTTCCTTCTCTTCAGTTTGGCTGCATAATTAATAAGTGGTGTCCAATTCAACTGGGAATGTTTCCTTAAGCCCAAGTGGTGATTTCACCTCTTGGCCAAAGACTCAGTGGAAGATGGCATGTATCGATGGCTACTAAGCATTTATGTCACCTGCTCACAGTTAGGAGTGTGTGACTTGGATAAACCAGCAAGGAAGGTTGCAGTCAAACAGAGAAGTTCCTAACTGACTCTGACCTGACTAGCTGCTGGAAGATTTGCAGGGCAATAAGGCAGAAGTGGAGAGGTACAGTGCCACGGGTGCCAGGTGTTTAAGTGGGGAGATACAGTGCCGTGGGTGCCAGTAGCTTTTTGCAGAGTCCTTCCATGCAGACATTCCACCAAATTACTTGCCACTCTTCTGGCATTAGCAGGAGCTAGCTGAAGGTCTGGGAATTAAGTCATCTCATAAACATTCAAATTCATGGTAAAATTACTATTTAATTAGGAAAAGATCTGTAACATTGTGCTACTTTTAAATGAAAGTCATTTTGGAGGAATTAAAACTGGGTTATAACATTAGTGTAATGTTTTAAAACAAACATTACTGAGACATACTGAGTATACCCTAATTGATAAATTAAAGACATTAGTTTTGCCTTTGGATACTTAATGTGATTATGCTTTAAACACTGACTCTAGAAACCTACCTCTGGTTTGGAACTGTGCTTCCTTCTTTCTTTGTTAAAGTGAGATGTGGCAGATACTGAACAAATACATGCTCCTTCTGGAAAATTTAGAAAATTTAAAATTCTATGTATTATTAAGTATTACGTCAAAATGTAATATAGAATTTTTGAAAAACTAAAATCTGCCACCTAAAGGTAACTGCTATTAATATTTAGATATATTTCCTTCTTTTATATATTTGTGTCTTTCCTTATCTATACAAATCTTTAAGTAGAGTTGTGTGATATTGCGAAGGATATATTTGGTCTTCCTGCCAGTATCCTTCATAATGAACCAGTAAACATAAGCAAATGTATCCCTGAGTTTTTGAGCCGGTCTAGCAAATTAATCTAACCCCAGGAGGTGGGTGAGGGAACCGAATTTTGAGTCAATTGGTCAGAGGCACAGGTTAAGCAACTGGGGGCTTGTGATTGACATTAGAAGTTGTTGGAGGTGGGCAGTCTTGGGACTGACCCTCAATCTGTGGATCAGGCACGTAGTGTTAGAACGGAACTGAATTAGAGGACACCTGGCTGGTGTCTGCTACAGAACTGATTGTTGGTCTGTGGGGGAAAAAAAACCCCTCACATCTGGTCACAGAAGTCTTCTGTGCTGATTGTTGAGTGAGTGTATGGGAGAAACTGAATGTTTTTTTTCTATAAGTTGTGATTATGTTCAATAATTAATTTTGCATCTAAGATTTAGTATAATTTTTTAATATTATATAGTCTTCATAACATAATTGTAATACTACCTAATACTGCATCATCCTGAATGTACTACAGTTTTTTATTTAACAGTTGGAATTACTTCAGTTCTTAGGGTTACATCTAAAGCTAAGGTGAACCTTTTCCTGCATTCCGGCAAATGCTTGTCAACATCTGTGGTGGTATTTTAAATAGAGTCCTAAGAGTTGAATTATTTGGTAAAAGACATTAGAAACTAATTTTTCTAAGGTTAATGATAGAAGTAACCCCAAAGTATCATATGCATTTATACTCATGCTAACAAGATGTACTCTTGAGATCACTTTTCTTATTACCATTCTCACTAGTATTGTTTTGCTTTATTTTTTAAGTCTTAAATTAGTAAATGATAAATGGATAATGTATTATTTTCAAAAAATTAGTCTTGAAAGTATCTGGATTCATTATGAAGGTAGTTTAATCAACTCTCAGGCAATTCAAGCAGACTTGAACATGATCTGTTAGTTTCACCATAAGGAAGATTTGAAATTAATATTTGATATTTAGAAGAATAAAAGACTACATTAGAGTTAGCATTAAAATTGTATGGAATTTAATTTTTCTATGTGATATAAAATATCTTCCTCATGGAGGGCTACAGAGAATCATTATAGAACTGTGTCTGTGGGCTGTGGGAAATAGCTCAACCTCCCCATGCCTAGGAAAGAATTGCCAGTTGCCAACTATCTTAATACATCCAATACTGTTTGGAATTTCAGGAACCCTGCATAATGCGTAAATTTGTTGGAGGTTTAGACTTTAAATTAAAAATGCCCTTCTTTCCTGTAGACTTACTAATGGAACACATACAGGAAATTCGAACTTTGAGAAAGCGTTTAGAAGAATCTATTAAAACAAATGAGAAGCTCCGGAAACAGTTGGAACGGCAAGGATCTGACTTTGATCAAGGTAAGGAAAGACCTCCCAGAGGGCTGTACACGTCTGTGAGTGCTTCACTGTGACGCATTTGCCTGAGTAAGCAACTGTGTGCAAAGCAGGTGCTTGATAGATGTTCATTTCTCCATCTTGGAGAAGTCTGCCAGCCTCTGGCACCCTGAATTGTGACTGGCACCTCATTTGACTTTGGAATCTGGAGATAAATGGATGCGGATTTTAAGATAAAACAAAGCAATATATTGTCTTTTCATCTATAACGGATTATAAAACAATCAGCATTTTGGCAACCTGGTAAATTTCGCATGCCACTCTAAAGGTCACACATATTCCTGCATAACCACAGTTAGCTCCGAATAGAATGATTGTCCATGCAGAACTTAAAAATATCCCCCCACCACAGGTAAGACATTCACATGCTTCAAAAATTAAAAACCTCCACTCTTTACCTATCAACCCTTATTTTCCTTTCCCTCTTCTTCACTTTTTTCTTGTTTTTCTTCTGTATCATTAACAGTGATTTTTAAAATGCAGATACCAGTATATATTCTTATTCTTCTCCTCACCGCAGAGGTAACATACTCTATATCCAGGATTCTGTCCCATGTGTCATGGAGCAGTAAAATCTTGGACATCTTTCCTTATTGTTCTAGAAAGAGTTCCTCCTTCCATAAAGCATGTATCTTGAAAACAACCTGGTGCACTCGGAAAAGACCGAGATTGTTTAGGAGTTGAACTGGCCTGAGTATGGACTCTGTTCTGCTGTTTATTAGCTTTATGACTTTGAGCAATTCACTCATCTCTCCCAGTCTTAATTGTTTCATGAAACAGGGTCATTGTGAGATTAAATGAGGCAATGTTATGAGTAGGGCCTTGCTCAGTAAATGGTTGCTTTCATCATCATTATCACTTTTTTTTTTTTTACTATTTTATTCTGTATAACATTGCAAAGCTCTGCAATGGACAGGGACCCTAATGTCATTCCCATTTTTAGAGATGATAGTGTTGTAGTGGAGCGAGCATAGAAAGTCAACACCAAGACAAAAGTATGTCAAATTGCAGGATCTTTATTGCCAGTGGCCACGGAGGACTCGAGTCTCTCCAACCTGTGGCCCCGAAAGGAGGGTGTTAAGACCTTTTATACCTGTAAAACCACCTGGGGAGTGAGGGTGAGGGGCAGGGGTGGGGGTGAGGGGCTTCAGACATTCTGAGGGCTAGCGGATTCTGTAAATCACCTCCTGGGCGAAGATGAGGGTGAGGGGCTCCAGACATTCCGAGAGCCAGGGGACTTTTGACATTCCAATTGTTACTTGAATGGTTCACAGAAGTCAAAATAAGCATTTGTTTACACATTGTCTGGGTAGGATGGAAATCACAGACCTTAATTACTTATTACAAGTCGAAGGGGCCAAGATGGCGTGGGTTTGGACTGCTTGCCTGTCACATTGGGGGTTACAGAGAGCAGTTTCAACAGAAAGCCGAGGTATGGTTGAGGTATGCAGTTTTAATGGGGCTTTTACCATGTCACAATAGAACTGAGTTCTGGAAAGATAGTGCTCCATGGCAGCACCTGAGTCCTTGGACCCTTGTCCAGGTGTCATTCCTCTCTAGCCATCATCTAGCCCCTCTAGCTACCAGCTGGGAGAGACATCTTTCCAAAGTACTGTGCATGCTGCAGTTTGCAGGAGAAGCAGAATGGCTCCATCTGGCCCTCTACCTCCCTCCTCCCTTCTTCCTCTTGCTCACTCCACCTACTTCCTGCATGCACCCCCCTCACCCTCAGGGAAATTGATTGATCTGAGTTATTAGTCGTATCAAACACAGGCAAGAAATACACACCTGGGCCCTTCACATTCACTCTTGGTAATGCCTGAATTAGATTCATTCTGTTTTACATTTTCCCTGGCAAATCCAATTATAGAATTATTTGGGGGCGCAAATGGCCACCAGCTACAATGGAGCAGGCAATTAATTGCTCTGGAGAATAATTCACTCTGATGGGAAGGTTTACAAAAGGATTCATAAAGTATTTACACTGGTGGAAAGATGTGCTGTTCTCACCGTGTTGTCATGATGTCTGAAAAGACAAAGGAATAAAAGTGGGTCCGCCTCCGCTCACTGTGAAATGTTCACCTCAGGGAGCAGGCCTGAGAAAGGTGTGGCTTCTTACGATATTGAGCTGGAATATTGTTAAAAAACGGCTTCTCATGTGTTAGAGCTTCTAGCTCGTCACCAGTTGTACAGGCTTATGGTGATGACACTCAGGAAAGACTAGCCTCCTAGCATCAGAAGTGGCCTTCCCTTGCTCAGGTTTAGGCTGGCCGGGAACTGTTCTTTGGCCTAATTATTTCTTTGCAAAGAAATACTGCCTCCAAAGCTATCACCTTAGCTTGGTCATGGCAGACTTTGGTAGAATTTTTCCTGCTTATTCATATTACTTTTTGGTGCTGCTCTGGCTTCAGTCTATCATTAATTGTTTTAGTCATACAAATGGTAAAAGCAGTAGCAGTAACATCATTTTTATTTAGTTAATGGAGACTTAGGGAAGTTATGTGATTTGCCTGAGGTCATGCCGCTATGAAGAAGCCAGAGCCATGGTTCAACAGTGTCTCTAAAAAGATACCAGCGTTCGCAGGGGAGAGTGGAGGAAGATGGTGGGGAGAGAAATAGTGAGTAAAAAAAGTATATGACATTGCAGTAAGTGAATCATTATCATGAGAGAAAGGTAGTGCTCTGGAGTGGAAGGACTGTGAGCTCCTTGGACAACTGATGTCGTTCCTCCCCTGCAACGAGTTTGAATAGGATAGGTGTTCAGTTGTGTGCCAGGATGCTTTCAGCTGCAAGCAACAGAATGAGAGTAGCAACTGACGGTAACAACAGGGATTGTGTTTTCTCACCTAACAAGAAACCCAGAGGCAGGTAGTTCCAAGGTAGGTTTATGGCTCAGTGACAGCAGAGTTTGGGTTACTATCTGTGATGACTGCAGTAGTTACAATCATCCCAGTCTCTTAGACGGTGTCCAAAGCATGGGAAAGAAGAAGGTGGGGCCCCTTCCTGTCCTCTTTTCATGCTGGTGGAAAATCTTTCCCAGAAGACCCCGGCAGACTTCCTGTCAGGCCTCATTGGCCAGAAGTGGCACATGACCGTGTCCTCAATGCAGGGTGGCTAGGAAAGCAGGAATCTGGCATTTTGGCTCTGTGGTGTAGTAAGTGGACCCAATGAGTGTGGAGGACATGGAGGGAAGCATCTGCCTGCCACATAGAGAAGGCACCTTGCACACAGTAGGTGCTCTCCTGAGGGTGGCAGTGAACTTGAATGTTATCTGTGGAGTAGAGGTGTCTAAACTAAGAAGATGGCCCTTGCGTTTTGTTGTGTGATTGTCCTTTGCCATGGTGGGTCATCAGATGTTTCTGAATAGACAGTTACTTGAATGGACTTTGTTTGGGATAATAACCTGTAAGCACTGGCAGAATAACGGGGAGACAGGGTTAGAGAGCAAAGTGATAAGGCCTGAACTTTAGGATGAAAAAAGGGTAGGTCAGTGTTGGAAGCATTTTGGAGGAAGCAGCAGCAGTTGTGATTCCCTGATTGGGCAGTGGAAGAGAGAAGGGTTTAGGATGGCTCCCAGCTTTCTAGCTTGGGTTAGGGATTGTGGCGATACCATCTCATTAGGCAGGAAACAGGTGAGAGAGAGCAGGTTTGGAAGGATGAGGAGTTCAGCTTTGGCTCTGTGGACTGAGTGACAGAGTTGCCTCAGTGGTGAGGTGTGGCAGGCAGCTGGATATGTAAATTTTGACCTTGGGAGAGACATCTGTGAAGGTGAAGACTCTCACTTGCTCACCCCACTCCTGGTCCAAGTCTTCTGCTTTGTTCTCCCTTAGGTAAGATGTGGGGGAGCCCCTCTTGCCCCCTTTTTCAGGCTTACTCTCATTTCTCTTTGGCCTCTGGTAGTTTCTTACATAGTTAACAGAAGCGATTGTCATTGTATGTTGTGTTAACTCATTGTTTAAAACTGTTTTCTAGAAAGTTCCATCTCTGCTGATCTAAAGACTGTTTATAAATCAGTCTTCATGTGTGTTTTTTTAGGTTCTACAAACATTTTTGCTTCTGGTTCCGAGCTTCATAGTTCTCTAACATCAGAAATTCATTTCTTGAGGAAGCAGAACGAGGCCCTCAATGCAATGCTCATTAAAGGATCCAGAGGTAAGAATTAAAGGAGTCACTGGAAGCCTGGAATGCCAAAGCCTTCTGTGACATGGAAAGAATGCAGGCATTGGAGTCTGACCAACCTAAGTATGAATTCTGTGGCTCTGCGATGGCTTTACACCATTTAATTGTCACAGTAGCCCTGTGAGGTGTTCCTGTTTTGTAGCTGAGAACACTGGAATCAGAGAGGTGCTGGAATACCTCATAGGGCTGTTGTGACAATTGAATGATGTAGTGTCTCTAATAGGGACTCAGTAAGTGTGTTACTTCATTTGCTTGTCACTCATCCCCTCTATAGCCACGTGTCTTTCCTCCTAGTTCACAGTGGGGGAAAGAAGGGCTGGAAACACAATACTGCCAAAATCTCCACAAGAGAATTCCTGCTATCAGCAAGATTTATCCTATACTTTTTATAAAGATCCATTATCTTACTTCCTTCTATTTGGAGCTTGGCTCCTAAAAAGCTTTCACTTACATTATCTTTCACTATTGAAAACAATTCTGGGATAATGTATCATTAGCCCTATTTGACAGGTAAGAAACAGGCTTAGAGAATTGCCCGGCCTGTGGTCACAGAGCTAGAAGGTGGTACAGCTAGAACTTGAGCCAGCTTATTCCACTTTTCCTAAAAGGATATTGATGTTCCTTTTGGCTTAAGAGATGAAATTGGGGCTTCAGTCAGTCAGTCATTCACTCAGCAGACATTTCCTATCTCCTGTTCTACTTCAGGGCCATGTAGACTCTGATACAGAAATGAAAGAGATTTCATCCCTTCCTTCAGTGAGCTCATAATCGGATGGAAGAGACAGCCAGACAATCATGGCAGGCCAGTGTGAACCGCTGCCATGATAAAGTCAGACTATGGGAACTGCAGGACCCTAGAGAAGGCATCCTGACTCAGGAAAAGCTTGCCTTGAGAACGGAGTCGAGGAGGGCTTAGTGAAGGTGCCAAAGATTGAGAGGAGCCAGGGCCCTTTAAATAGAAGGAAGAGAGCAGACAAAGGCCCGGTGGTTAGCAATGAAGAGAGACCAGGCCTTTCGGGAAGTGAAGGAAGCATGACGTGTCTGGAGCTTGAGGGGAGAGGTGAATGCTTGCTTAGAAATTATCTTGTCATGGTTAAGAATGGAGTCAGAAAACCTGAGTCCGAATTCTGGCTCTGCCACCTACTGGCCGTGTGACCTTAAGGAAGTTTCTTATCTGGAAAGCAGAAAATAATAGTGCCTGCCTTGGAAGTCAGCCCTGAAGATTAACCAGGGCACTGCATGTCAAGGCCCCAATGTCATACCTGCACAGGTAGTGCTGGTGCAGCTCAGCTGTTACCACCACCAGCACTGCTGGCAACTGAGCCTGATGGAGCTTCCAGCCCCCAGAGTGCTCCTGAAGACCTGTGGTAAACCTTTTATAGATGGCAACCAGTTAATCCACACAATAACACCTGTGAGGAAACACATTTTATAGCTGGTAGCTCAGTTAATCCCCGTAATAACACATATGGAGAAGTGAAGAGCCTCCTCACTCAAGGTTATGAAGTCAGGAAATGGAGAAGCCGCTCTTGAATATGGCCTCTCTGCCTCAAGCACTGTGCTCTTGACCACGGTGTCTCTTGTACCTCTGGGTGTATTTCATTCCTCAGGAGAGGTGCTGTCCTCAGCCTCAGGAGTGAATGGGCCTCAAGGTACCATCTGTACAGCCCTGCTGGCCTCCTGGGGCTAGGTTGGTAGAAGGCCTGTGGCCAGTCCAACACCCATTCCCAGAGTTCTGGGCCCTGTGTTTTCCTCTGTCTGTACTTTCTACCTGCTGCTCTGTGAAGGCAAAATAACTAGGTTTACATGGCCTGTTGTTTAATAGAAAATTAAACAGACCCATTTTATCCCAGTGACGTTTAATCTGCAGCCTTGATGTTGACAAATTTATCTGCCCAAAGTGTGTAAGACAATTGGAATGCCAAAATCATAAATGCCACATCGAATCTCATTCTTTTTTGTATTCTTGAAGTGCTGTATTTATATAATAAGGTTGGAAAAAACAAATGGTGGCCCTTCTCAGTGGCGCCTTTTTGTGTTTGCAGATAAACAGAAGGAGAATGACAAATTACGAGAGTCCCTCTCCAGGAAGACCGCGAGCCTGGAGCACCTTCAGCAGGAGTATGCCAGTGTGAAGGAAGAAAATGAAAGGCTGCAGAAGGAAGGCAGCGAGAAAGAGAGACACAGCCAGGAGCTGATCCAGGAGGCCCGCCACAGCCGCCAGGAGCTGAGCAGGTAGTGGCTGTGCTTCCCTGGTGCCCTGCTGGCTGAATCACGCATCCGCGCACTGGGCTGCAGTTGTGGAATCAGGCATGCAGGCCTCTGCACTAGTGCACAGTGGCAGGCAGTAGACAGAAACATATTTCACATCTGGTGGGCCTACCACATGTGGAGAACAATCCCGTAAGGAGGAGAGGGCTTGGCAGTGGGTTGCTGTTTTTTGTCGAGGGCGAGTCAGGTAAGGCCTTTCTGAAAAGATGCTGTTTGCACAGAGAGCTGTGAATGTAGTGAGGAGGTGAGTGCTGCAGCTACCTGGGGAAGATCATTTTAGGCAGAATGGGCGCAGGCCCTGAGGCAGCGTGGCTTAGACCTGTGCCCGACAGAGCAGGGCAGTGCGTCCCGAGAGGCAAGAAGCTGGGGGACGAGATACCGAATCACATCGGGCCACAGAGCCAGTGTGAGGACGTCAGGTTTTACTCTGAGTGGCATGAGAAGCGTGGGAGATTCTGAGCAGAGAGTAACGTGGATCTGCTGTTGTTTTTAAAAGGATCGCACCAGTTGTCCTTTTGCCATTTCCCTATTTGAGTCTGTCCGTTTCCAAATTTGAGTTGTTCCTGTTGGCACGTGTGAATGCCCCACTCTTGAAGAGTTACTGTCATCACCCAGGGTGGTGCACTGAGGTAGCAAGATCATTGTCTCTGCCACCAGATAGTCCTGGGCCTAAGTCCAGCTCCCCTCCTGAGCTGTGCACCCCTGGGTAGGAGACAGCCTTTTTGAGTTTCATTTCCTCATATCTCTGAACTGAGGATCAGAGGGCACCGACCTTTTAGGGTGTCTCTGAAGATTACATGAGATCACATAGGTAAGGGGCTGGACGCAGGGGCCAATTAGAAACTGTGGCTGTCACTGGAATTCTTAACCATGCTTGTCACTTCTTGGTCCACATTCTTGTGACTGAGGGTGGAATTGGCCTACCCTGTGGGATTTGAATAAGTGATCCTAAGGTAGAATTAACTTCTCCGTCTCATCCCTGTGGGGCCTTCTCAGGGTGCAGGAGGAGGTGAAGTTGAGGCAGCAGCTGCTCTCACAGAATGACAAGCTATTGCAGTCCCTCCGAGTGGAGCTGAAGGCATATGAGAAGCTGGATGAAGAGCACCGGAGACCGAGAGGTAATGGGGGCTCTGGTCCGAGGCCCTTCTCATCTTGAGGCTACTGTGGCTTGGGCTGTAAGCCCACCCAGCAGCTGGTTGTAGGCACAGGTGGGCAGAGCTCAGCACTCTCCATTCTGACCTTGTGGGTAGAGTAGATGGGTGCTAAAGCTGGCGCTTTGGCCCACTCTTCTTCTGAAGGAACAGCAGGAAACATGGAAGGACTGAGGCTTAGCAACCAGGCCAGCTGAGGTCCGGGTTCCCACTCCCTTGTTCTGGGCTGTGTGACCCTCAGCAGGCCACTTCACCCTTTGAGCCCATACCTGCCTCTATAAAACATGTTTCTCAGCACCTGCTGTGTGGAGAGTTACGTTAAAAATTGAATGAGACCATTTATTAAAAGCATCCTAGCATGGTACCTGACATAGTAGGCACTCAGGAAATGACTTTTATTACAGTCATCTTGCTATGTGTTACTTTTTGCCCTTTTATTCAGCAAACATTTATGGACACCTCTCATGTGCTGGGCATTGCTCTGGGGATGCTTGTTGGCTTCAGTGCTCTCTATATCCTGAGAGAGATACCAGATCAGAGTACCTCAACTATAAAGTCTAATGTTTCAGAATCAATTTTGAGGTGTGGTGAGGTTTTTTTTTTTTTTTTTTTTAAAAACTAATTTTCCAGATGGTTTCTCTCTATTGAAAGTTTATCTAGAAAAGGGTCATCTCACAGCTTTTATTTTTCTCCTCAACTTGCTTTTCTTATTCTTGCCATTGTGTCTTTTTAATATACTGTGGCTCTTAAAATCATCCCCTTTTATTCTATAATTCTAGCCCAAATAGATTTTATTACTACTAGACATAATTTCGGGGTTTGGTGTGCAATTTGCTAGGCTTTTATGGCCAGAAGTGAAAATTAATTTCCAGCTCTTATTTAGCCTGTGGAATAGCAGCAATTAAGTCTGCCAATATTTTTGTTTCTAAAGTCAAGTTGTTATTTTAAATTGTACCTAGTTCTTAGGAAGGGGGAGGGTGAGGGTGGTGGCGGGTGTAAAACACGATTGAGTTCCTTCGATGGCTGACCCTGTGGTTGTGGAAGATGTCAGGGCTTCCCTTTGCACATGTCCACAGAGTCGTCGGGAGAAGGCTGGAAGGGGCAGGATCCTTTCACAGACCTGCACAGCCTCCTGATGGAGATCCAGGCTCTGCGGTTGCAACTGGAAAGGAGCATCCAAACCAACAGCACACTGCAGAGCAGGCTCGAGGAACAGCTGGCGAGGGGGGCGGAGAAGGCACAGGAAGGAGCCCTCACTCTGGCTGCCCAAGCCCTGTCCATCCCTGAGCTGCCCCTTCAGCCCAACAAACACGGTACTGCACCTGCCTCTCCCCACTTCCTAAGCATGCAGTTCTGAGCGTCTGTGTGTGACATGTGAACTTCTGAATGATGCCTTTGCCCCACAGAGGTGTCTTTCCATTGATAGCTGACACACTGTAGCCTAGGAGCCAGGGGACCTGACTGCTAATTAATTAGCAGTCACCTTTGGCAAAGTGGTGTGGTCTGTCTGAGGCATCTTCATTCTCAGGGAAGTGGAGTTTGGACTTCCAGACAGCCTCAGTGCCTCTGGTGTTGCTCCCTCCTAGTTAGTCCTGCTCATGTCACTCTGATGCTGAAATTTCTTTTAGTTTTCTGACTGCCTTTAAAAGGGAGCCTAAACATCTTAATCTGGCTTTCAGTGTCTTTCAGGATCTGAAAAGCATCCTGATAGGTTTAAAAAGTAGATCTATTTTGCATTTGCTTGTGGGTTAATTGCCTAGCCCTGGAGAGGCTGTAGTGGGTACCAGAAAGAGGGCCAGACACCTCTGCCACCCACCCACCACAGCGTGTGGAGCAAACCAGTAAATGGCAGGCGCAGAGCAGTCAGGCAGCCTATCCTCTGCTCTAGAGATGAAAAACGAAGGCCCAGAGAGCGGATGGTGCTTACCGAAAGTGGCACAGCAAGTAGGTGGCAGAGCTGACGCTAGAAACCATTTCTAGCTTTGAGTCCAGGGCTGTTCCTGAACCCCACCAGACCCTCTAGAGTCTTGGGTATCCTGGGATTGTCGTCCTGACACCAATAGCATCAATGTGTGTATCCCGTGGAATGAGGAATGCCAACATGCTTATAAGCAAGTATTGTATTAAAATTTGGACTGACTTTTACTTGGATACCTCTAGTTAAAAAAGTAAAAATAAATCTTAAGGAGCACCTAGTCAGTCTGCCTTAGAACTTGTAGTGAAACTAATCAGTTCATTGATTTCTCATTGATAAGGATCTTAAAATTTAATCAAAAAGATGATATAATATGAAAAAAGTGAACAGAGAAAAAAGTTCATGATTCTGCACATTCATCATTTTTTAACATTTATTAAATATGAGCATGAATTTATATTTTTCAAATTGGTTTTGTGTCATTCTGTGTCCTTTCTTTTTGTCCAGTATTAAATCAGACACGTTCCCCCCGCCTTCACACGGGCTTCCTAATGACTGTTTGCAGGTTATTCGCAGTCACCAATCCATGACCCTGTTGATAAAGTGGTCTCTGCTTTGGAGCCATAGTAGGCATCAATGTTAGTATGCTTTTTGCTGTTAAACAGTATTCTTAGGAGAAAACGCTACCAGGGAAATCTCAGAAGTTTGGAAAGGTGCCATGTTGCCACCTTCTGAATGGTCTGCACATCAGCAGTGTACGAAGGTAGTGGTTTTTGCATGACTTCATCAGCCTTGGGCATTACTATTTTCAACATAGGTCTGTACCTGGCCCTTTTTAAGGCTTTGAGGATGGGATTTAGGAACTTATGGGGTGGGCTAGGGGATATTGGAGCAGGGAGAACAATTCTGTGCTTGGGGAGCCCAGGAAGGAGAGTTGGGTAGCTCAAGTGAGGAGGCCATCCAACAGCCTTTACCTGCTTTTGAAATTTGCTCAGAGGCAGCCCTCGGCATGCCTGGCCAGGAGGCATCCAGGAGAGTGTTCACAGTGCTGCCTCAGCAGGAAAGTTTTCTAATTTCCTTGAGTCAAGATCAGAATTATGTCATAAGCAGCAGCATCTCTTCCTTTGCAAAAGACTTCTCAGGTCTGTATTTAAGTGCATCTGTTATAAAAATTCTGTTCTAAAAGCTGATGTCTTTTGCTGAGAGTGATTCTTCTCGGCGCCAGCTCTGTGGAGCTGACCTCCTGACTCCTTGGCCTTAGGAATTGTAGCAGACCCTTGGGAGGTGCTGGAGTGCAATTAGCCCGCCTCCCAGTGTTGCAGGAGCTCAGATTGGGGTTCCTAAGCCCTGCGCTTGCTTGCTCTCTGCCACTGACATGGTGGGTTATGCTGGACAGATCACTTTCTATCTCTGCCCCTTGGTCTCCCCTTCTCCATTAAATCTGAATTACAATGTGTTCTGCCCACTGAGGTATTGAGTCCAGTAGCTTTTCATATGTAAAAGTGCTTTCCCAATTATAAGGTATTGCACAGGTCATCTGTACAGTATCTATTGATTTTTGCCTCCTTACAGTGTTGGAAATACATCACCCTCTAGATCCTTTTGTGGGTTACTCTCATTTCTAGCTTAGATTAGTGTGGCAGCCTCCTGACCCACTCCTCCAGTACAAAATACAGACCTCAGCTTGACATTGCCTTGGCCAAAGCCTTTGAGTGGGTCCCTCAGTCCTCATGGTTCTGGCCTTGCATCCTGCTTTGTCCTTCCCTGCACCCTGGGCCTTGGGCCTATGAACTGCTCATTTCTCCCCAGGTGATGATTCTACTCTTTGTCCCACTGTCTGCCTTTCACCCGCCCATTGTGCTGCCTGGCATTTCTTTTCCTCCTTCTTACCATAGGTCAGTGTCAATCAGTCTCCAAACGTAAGGTTTTAAAATAGGTATTAGCCTTTGGGAAGCCAAGTTGAGGGTAGTGCCCCTCACCTGAGCCCCAGTAGCCTGTGTTTCCCTGCCTTGTCCTTGATCACACTGAAATAAAATTGCTTGTTGACTTTTCTGCTCATATATTTCTAGGGAATGGACTGAGCCTGGTCACTCTGTCTCCCTGGTACCCCACACAGATGGTCCTGGCAGGGCAGAGGTCCAGTGAAGATATGAAGGAATGCTATGTGTGTATGAATAAGTGAATATGAGGTGCTTGACTGTGTTCTCATTCAGTTCTCTCTTGAATGCTGATAACAGTGACACTAACAGTTCTTATTTTTTGCATTTTGTAGATGGGGACAAATATCCCATGGAAAGTGATAATTCATTTGATCTGTTTGATTCCACCCAGGCAGTGACACCAAAATCAGGTATAAAGATGAAGTCTGGGTAACTGTGGCAGCATTGGATGTGACAGTAAGACTTTTTAAATTGCAGAAAAGGGTGTCCCTGGTCCCAGCTCAGGAGGGTATTGGCAAGGCTTTGGGATTTCAGGTTCTCAGCATCTCCAGCTGGTGATCTCCTCCTCCAAGCCAGTTAATCCACTCCTAGGTGTTATCAACCTTAGAATGTCATTGGGTCCTGTTGCCGTAGATTAAACTTGTGACCACCTTTGTGAGGCTTTCAAAGGCCCTCCAGGATACAGCTCCAGTGGGCCCATCCAGCCTTATCCCTTACCCTGGTGTAGCCACACACAGATCACCATCCTGTAGACAGGCCCACGCTTTCCTCTCACTGTGACTTTTAGACCCCCTTTGTCCCACTCTTTGTCAGTAAAAGTCTCGTTTCCTCAAGACTCATCATGAATGCACATTTCTCTGCGACATACCTTTGCTGCTCTCCCTGGTCAGAATGACTCATCATTAGTGTAATTCTTGCTATTTGCTCAATCCAGCTCAAATGCTGCTCCTTCTCAGAAGCCTTCCCTGTTATCTCCCTCCCTGTATAGATAATTGTTTTTCCTCTGTCTCTGACCCTTCATCACTCTGCTGTTGCACCTCCTGCAGTATCTGTGTTCTGATCAGACTGTGGACTACTGGAATACAGGCACCAGCTTGAGTCATCCTTGTGAATCTGGGGTCTTCTGCCGAGCTAGTGGTTGATAAGTGTTGGTTGAATTGACTTGAGCCTCTCCTACAAGATGACTCATAGCTCAGTGTGGGGTAATATACAGAGGTCCAGGAGCCAGGCCTCTTTTCCCCTCTGGGCTTGCATTGGGTGACATTTGGGCATGAGGGCCTCTCCTAGACCTCCTAGCTAGCCTCAACATCATAATCTCTTTGAAGGCAGAGTTAGCTGAAACTATCAGCTGTTAGCTGAAACAGATTTTACATCCTACCTCTCATGTTACAGTTTCAGAGACTCCTCCACTCTCTGGGAATGACACAGACTCCCTCCCCTGCAACGGTGGCAGCTTGGCAACTAGCACTCCGTGTGTGTCCTGCCTGGTCACTGGCCACCGCCTATGGGCTGACAAGAGTGGCTGCCATGTCCTGGGCCTGATTGAGGACTACGAGGCCCTGCTCAAGCAGATCGGACAGGGACAGAGGCTCCTTGCCGAAATGTACATTCAAATCCAAGAGACTCCCAGCTCCGAAAGTCAAGAGCTGGGGACAAAGGTAACCTGATCACAGAGCTAGGGGGCACAAGCTGCTCCCTGGGAGTGTGGGTGGAAGGGATAGGGGAGTCAAATGGCGCAGTTGTCCTCAGTAGGACCCTGAGGAGAGGGACCAAGAAGTGTGGCTCCAGAGAGTTCAGAGGTCAGGTTCCGTGTGGGGGGAACCATTGGTGGTGGTTGTGTTTGGTGGGGGTCACGCCCTGTCTTCCTGTAACTGCTTCCTGGGCTCTGCTGTCTTGCTCCCATGATGGCTCTGTACATCCGGTCTCTCATCCATTCTTCTCTCCATCTGCATCCCCGTGTGTCCATTCATCTGCCATCCACCTGGCTGTCACCCATTATGAAGTGGAATTAGTAGTTCAAAGGTTGTGAGGGCTCTTGATGATAACCATTGCTGCATTACTTTCCAAAATGATTCTATCTGTGTTCATGAACGGAACGTTTGTCTCACTACATTTTTTCTTTATTGAGTTTTTGTTGTTGCGTTTTTTTTGTTTTGAGACAGGATCTAGCTCTGTCGCCCAGGGTGGCGTACAGTGGTGTGATTATGGCTCACTGTAGCCTCGACGTCCACCTCGTAGGCTCAAGCAATCTTCCTGCTCGGCCTCCTAAGTAGCTCTGACCACAGGCTTGTGCCAAAACCTGGCTATTTTTTTTAGAGACAGGGTCTCACTATGTTGCCCAGGCTGGCCTTGAACTCCTGGGCTCAAATGATCCTCCCAGCTTGGCTGCCCAAAGTGTTGAGATTACAGGCGTGAGCTATCATGCCTGGTGCCATATATATATATAATTTTCCCGATGAAGTCTCATTTCTGTTACCCAGGCTGGAGTTCAGTGGTGTGATCTCGATTCAGTGCAGCCTCCGCCTCCTGGGTTCAAGCAATTCTCCTGCCTCAGCCTCTCTAGTAGCTGGGATTACAGGTGTGGGCCACCATGCCCAACTAATTTTTGTATTTGCAGTAGAGATGGGATTTCACCATGTTGGCCAGGCTGGTCTTGAACTCCTGACCTCAGGTGATCCACCCATCTTGGCTTCCCAAAGTGCTGGAATTACAGGCATGAGACACTGCGCCTGGCTGAGATAATTTTATTTATAATGATTGTTTTGTCACTTTAATATCTAAAAAGCGTGTGTCTTTTTCTCTTGCTCTTTTTTTTTTTTTTTTTTTTTTTTTTTGAGACAGGATCTGGCGGCGTTACCCAGGCTGGCGTATGTGGCACGATTATGGCACACTGCAGCCTTGACCTCCTGGACTTAAACAATCCTCCCATCTCAACTTCCCAAGTAGCCAGGACTACAGGTGTGCTGCACTGCCACACCTAGCTTTTTGTTTTTTGTAGAGATGGGATCTCACCATGTTGCCTAGGGTGGTCTCGAATTCCTGGGCTCAAGCATTCCTCCTGCCTTGGCCTCCCAAAGTGTTAGGATTACAGGCATGAACCACTGTGTCTGACCTTGTTCTGTTTTTGTATTTATTTTATTACTTATGAAAACAAATGCTTTTTTCATTTCTTCTTTTTTTGTGTTTCTCCTTTTCTGAGTCACATACTTAGTTTTCTTATGTCCTTGATACCTCCCAATTTGAGTTTTCTCTGCAAGCAGAGAGCGTGAAAGAGACTTTACAAGGCCCTGATATCATATTCACTATAGCAGGGCCATTTAACAGGGACCACTGAAGACAAACCATTTATTGCCTGCTGTTGGTGTCATTTGCTCTGGGGGGCTCTCTGTGGGCTGCTGAACAGTGAGAATAGCCCTCCCGCAGATCCTTTACTTGGAGTAGTAACTCTAGTTAATGCTGGTGGTTATTAATCATAGTTATTGATTGGGCTAAAATCACCACTGAAATTCTCTCATAATCTACAATTCACCCGTCTGTAAGAACAATAAATTGGTGTTATGTGGCACCAGGCTTTTGCTCAGCATGTGAAACAAGAAGCCCTACAGTGTGGAGATTTATGCCGCATGTTAAGTCTTGCTTGTCCAAAATCTTTTTCACGACTGCATATAACAGCCTTCATATCCCCCCCATGTAGGGTCCACACCTGGTCCCACTTAGCAAGTTTGTCAGCAGTGTGAGCACAGCCAGGCTGACCCTGGAAGAGGCCTACAGGCGGCTGACGCACCTCTGGAGAGTCTCTCTCCCCTCAGATGGCCAGTGCCCTCTTCACTGTAAGCAGGTAGGTGGTAACACATGATTCAGAGGCTCAAGGATGCCACTGGGGCCCATGTCTCAGTTTCCTCCATGCCAAACCCAGGACCTGGCACATAGCAGATGTGCCCACCATTTGGGATATGTATCGGGGAGGAGATGGCACTTTTTGCCATGGCTTCACTGTGTTCTTACTTGATCCGTCCTGCACTCCTGTAGTGCTGACCTGGCTGAGCACTTCTTTGTTGAGTAGAATCCCGTCCACATTCTGCGCATGAGGCAACTCAGACTCGGGCAGCCAGGGCCCTTGGTCAGGGTTGGAGCTTGAAGTCCCAGTTTGGCCTCATGTACTAGCTCATTCTTTTGTACTCATCATTCATCCCTTTTATGGATGCCTTTCTCTGAACCTTTTAATTCCTATCAATAGCTTTCATCATCATCTTTTTTTTTCTTTTTCTTTTTTTTTTGTTTTTGAGATGGAGTTTTACTCTTGTTGCCTAGTCTGGAATGCAATGGTGTTATCTTGGCTCACCGCAACCTCTACCTTCTGGGTTCAAATGATTCTCCTGCCTCAGCCTCCTGAGTTGCTGGGATTACAGACATGTGCCACCACGCCCAGCTAATTTTTTGTATTTTTACTAGAGAAGGGGTTTCTCCATGTTGGTCAGGCTGGTCTCAAACTCCCAACCTCAGGTGATCTACCCATTTTGGCCTCCCAAAGTAATGGGGTTACAGGCATGAGTCACCGTGCTCAGGTATCATCATATTTGAGTGGAACTTGTTCAAAATCTGTTTTAACTACTTAGTCTGTAAACCAGGAGTCAGGGAGAGTAGAAGCTGTCCCCTGATTTCTGTGTGTGGGATGTGTGGGATACATGTGCTATCATGACAAGGTGAGTGCCCACTCTGGCTAATCCGAGAAACCTCCTTGGAAGAAGGGACATGCAGGTTAAGAAAGAGTTAGAACTCTCTGTTTGGTGGCCTGATAAATATTTGCCCCTTTGTTTATCTAACCTGTAAGTTCTGGCGGAAGGCCAGCAGAAAGGCAAAAGGGAAATTTACATTTTGTGTCATTATCTCATTTAGTTAAACCCCTTTGGACAGCTCTCAGGTCTCTCAAACATGACCAGGAAGTAGCTGGTGGGGCAGCCCTCTGCTCTGAAGTCCCTAATGAGCCTGTCCTAAGATTTCCCTCTGGGGATCCTGGGGACAAAGTTTGAAGGCACTAAGCTGAGGGAAGTTCATAACTGTTCATTCCATAGAAAAATCTTTTTTCCCCCACGTTTAGCTGGTGTCAGTATCAGGTGAAAGACAAAGTATCAGGGAGGAAAGCTGGGACTCACTGGGGTCCAGCCCCATGTGGGTTGGTCTTTCCCTTCTTCTAATCCATCAAGCCCTTTTCCATCTTACGCTTAGGTGACACAGATGGCCTGAAGTGTCCCAAGTCCTGCTCTTGGCTGGCTCCTTCTCACCTTTCAAGTCTTAGCTTAAATATAACTAGTCAGAGAGGCTCCCTGATTCCTCCATCATAGCCTCCTCTTCTGTTTCATCATGACCTTTTCAACAAATTATAATTGTGTCTTTGTTTAATGTCTGTCTTCCTCTATTTTCCTTCCAAGGACAGTTTCTGTTTTATTTATATTTTGAATGAACCAGTGATTTTTTTTCTATATACCCAAACTAGTACCTGCCTCATATGATTTTAATATAAACATCTCTGAACTAAACAATTGACCCTTAATCCAGTGTTTTTGTCCTTAGCACATAGTAGTAACTATTGAATCGACAGAATACAGCTTACACACACACACACACACACACACACACACACACAAACACACACATATATAATATATTATGTATACATACACACACAAATTATAGCCACACTGATTTTCCCCTGCTTGCAAATTGTTCCAGGAGTGGTTGGTGCTCCTGAGTGCCCCTTTCCTTCTGAAGGTTTCTTGAGTAACTGATTAAGCTCACTTTGATGTCATGGAATCGTGGAGCCAGAAAAAGGACCTTTGAGATATTCTGATGTGGTTGCTGGGCTACAGACCCCCTGTGTGGTGTTAAATTGTCTCTAACCACTTTTCTGTCACTTCTGTGTTTCATACAGTGCCTTTGCTTTGTGTGAAATGTGTGTAATGCTGATTTCTAAGTTTTCACCACCAACCCAGGGGTTTTGAACTACCTCGTGTTTTCTTTTGAGTGTTATTAATTGCCTTTTGCATTTAGTATACCATCCCATGCAGTCTGGAGTGCTCTGGAAAGTGTGTATCTTGTGCACCAGTTGTGTGGAGGGATACAAATGTACACACATACTTGCTTATAATAATTTTTTTAAATGGAGAATAAACAATAACAAAACAGGCTACATATAGTAGTGGGAGGGGAGAGACTGGAGTAACAGATAGAAGGTAGATTTCTCTGAATAGACTTTGTTTTGTAGATTTGACTTTGCAACTGTATAAATGCATTACATAATTATAAAAAAATTGAAATGAGAAAACAGTTTCTAAAAATTCTTGGCAAGATGAAACAAACCTTACTGTATGTGGCGTTATAGGCATCACAGCACAAAAAGGAAGCATTTCAATGTCTAAAACACAGTAGTTTGACCACACATTTCTAGTAGAAATATTCTAAGGGCGAGAAAAAATTTAAACTCTTTTCAATGGTTAGTTAGTAATGATATTGATACTGATATTCTGAATTATTATATTTCTCTTGTAAGATAATACAACATTTAATTTTATTTTTACTGTGAGGAAAAAGAGATATGAAATCAAAGAAATAACGCTGTAATCCTAAATTTGAATAGCAGATATCAGTATGAACTTGTGATGTATTATCCTTTAAAAAACATTTATGAACATTCTCAACATATAATGCTCTAGAAACCATGTCTGTTCTAGCACCAGTGAGCACCCTTGATGCCCAAATTATGGTTTCTAGATACCTTTGCCCACTAAAAGGAACTAAGGTTTCTTGCAGAAATGGTTTGTTGCTAGGTCTGGGGCAGGAAATGTATAGTATGAGCCTGGAACGTATTTCATTCTTGTGAGAAAGGATCCAGCATGAGGAAAGAGGGAGAGAACCCCATGGATTTAGAGTGGTTCCCAAAGTGTGGGCCCTGGATCTGCAACACCTGCATCACCTTCAAAATGCACCTTCTCGGGCCTCACCCCAAACCTACTGAATCAGGAAATGTGAGAGTGCACCCCAGCAGTCTGTTTTTACAGCCCTCTAGGTAGGTTTGAGAACCACTGGATTAAAAGAAACTTAAGCGATAGTCAGATGCCAAACATGGATCTTATTGCATCCTGAATTGAACCAATTTTTTAGAAAAAGAAAATTATGAAGCTATCAGGGAAGGTTCACTGACTGTATTTGGTGATACTAAGGAATTATTGCCCTTTTTTTTTTAGGTGTCATAATGATATTGTGATTTTTTTTTTTTTTTTTTGGCTTTTATGAATCTTTTTATGTCTGGGATGGTGGCTCATGCCTGTAATCCCAGCACTTTTAGAGGCCAAAGTGGGAAGATCACCTGAGGCCAGAAGTTCGAGAGCAGCCTGGGCAGCTTAGTAAGATGCTTTCTCTATTTCAAACAAACAAACAAACAAACAAAAAACAAACACAACTTTTTCTTCTAGAGAGATGTAAAAAATTGTATAGATGAAATGATATGATTGGCTTCTAGGGTTGGTTTCCGAATCATCTTGGGGAGAGGATGGGCAGGAATGTAGTAGATACAAGTATGACCATGAATTGATCATTGCTGTAGCTGAATGGGCACTTGGGGATTCATTATTCACTTCTTTCTACTTTTGTAAATGTTTGAGATTTTTCATCATAAAAAAAACGAGCAAAAATTCCTGTCCATGAAGTCAGGCAGAACACTGATGCAGAAGCCTGAGGCCTCCTGGGAATGGGTGGCTTCCAGCGCTGCAGCTCTGTGGCCCTCCGGAAGGGTTGTTCTGGCAAGTTGAGGATACTAGGCACACTGCTTACACCCAGCGTTTCATTTAATCCCTTGAGGAAATCTTGAAGGAGTTAGCCATGATTCTTCCCCTTTTCCAGACGTAGGAACAGAAACTCCAAGAGGTTAAATGACTTGCTTCAGTGTCATAGAGCTGGAGAGTGCTGGAGCTGTGCTTTGAGCCCCTGCTGTTGTTACCATGGTATATTCATCCTATAAAAATGAAGACTGGAAACCAGGGGAACAACAGACATGTAAACAATGAAAATTCCCTGTTTTAAGTACTGGATAGAATATGTACAGGGTGTTATGAGAGCAGCAGTGAAAATTAGCCCACTGTGAGTGGGTACATGGTGTCACAGCACCTGCTCTGTACCAGACACTGGTGGTTAGAGGGAGGAAATGAGCGTGTACAGGAAGCAAACAGTCACTCCATTGTGCCATGACATGGGTGGTGATGGGGAGACACTGAGGCCCTGGGGCACCCAGAGTAGCAGCAGCCAGCCTAAAAGAAGTGCCAGGTCAACTTCCTGGAAGAGGCGACACCTGAGCTGACTTTAGAACGCGGAATGGTTCAGTCAGGCTGACTTTGCAATGATCATTCCTGCTGAATTCCATTATCTCATTTGAGTCTCACTCTACTGCTGTGTGATAGCTGGGTCAGGGATTATTATTCTGATTTTATAGATGTGGGACTAAGGCTTTGACTGTAGAGAGACTTTGTCCTGGAATGTGTGGCCTCTAGAGCCATGACCAGAACCTAAATCTTCGTGGGCTCTTAGCCCCAAGGAAAAGAATCGAAGCAAACCTAATGTTTAAAATTAGGATCTGTTTGGGAAGAACTGTTGAAGTCCTTGTACCTGACATGACTGGTTAATCTTAAAAGTAGGTTAAGTCAGAGAATCAAAAAATGATACGTACCTTAAACATTTTAGTTTAACTTAAAACAGATAAATGTACATTCATTTGCCATTCTTTTGATGTAGGGCCAGGGCCTTTTCTTTGAATATGGGTCTTCTGATTGGAGTTTCACATCTTCTTTCTTTCATAAACTACATCCATAATGTATGTCTGTCACTTCCAATTTCTGTTTCTTTAAGATGAAGAGAAAACTTAGACACTTGCAAAGCAATTTGAATATGGAATTCTTCTAGACTGTGTTCCTCCCACATCTTTTATAGTTGTCTCACCCACACCTAATTTGCCAGAAATGTGTTTTTTAGTGACTTGCTTTTATCAAGTCTTTCCTGAAGCATATGTTAGTTTTCATACAACCAGTTCTCTCTTTTAATACACATATTTCATGGGCTTACTTAATATTTAATTAAATTATGCAATTTGATTACAAGTACAGCTACCATAAACAAGTTTGGAAACAAACTAAAGTGACTCTTCCTGAGCTGACAACTCACCATGTCTCCTGTTGGGAGCAGAAGTGTTTTGGTGCAGCAGAGAGCAGCCTGTGCCAGGGTACTTTCCTGACAGAAAGGGAGTGTCTTTCCTCTGTGAGCTGGTTTGGTGGAGACTGGCTGAGAGGGCTCCACCATGTGTGTATTTCACCTCAGAGCACTGGGGACTCTGGTTTTGCCACCCATCCACAGTTTACTCTCCAAAACCAAAAGTTTCTCCTAATGGAGCATACTCTTCTGTTAGAAATAGATGCTTGGTGCAGCAAAGAAAAATTAGCACTGAGACAAAGGATTTTTTAGCAATGCAATTTTTACTTCCTGAACTGCAGGAAGGATACCCTTGCTAGCCATTGTGCCATGAGAGTACAATGAATGAAGGAAAAGCAGACAAATTTATCCCTTACACATTTGGGGTTGTTGTTACTGCTGTGTTTGATTTCCATTGGTTGGAGCCAGACCTCACAATTTAAACTGAAACATGATTGACTAATAACTTAAAACTTTTTTAAACAGGTAAAAGCAGTGGAAAGCTGGGACATGCCTGTGAGCATGTCCAGCACAGATATCTTGGTTAAAGTACAAGGATACAGAATGTACTACATGCCTGTAAGCATGGCATGTCTAACAGCTACATAGGATAGGGCTTAACAGAGAGTTATTAGCACACTTATGATTTATTTTTTGACAAGAAAGGAAACTTTAAAAAGGAACTTTTCTACTTCCCACATCTTCTAATAATACTTTTATATGATCTTTTTAAGATTTAGACATGGAAAAGTTTTTAAAGTCAGCATTATAGTTTGTTTGTTTTTTTTAACTCAATTTGAAATCATGTCTCATGGAGATAATTGCTGTTAACATTTTGATGACATCTATGGATGTGGACATTTATATTCAGTTTTGTGGAACAGGAATGCCTTAGATACAGGATATGTTATTCTGGGCTCTTTTGTCACTAATTATGATCATTTTTTGATATCAATATATAGAACTCTACAACATCATTTTTAGTGGCTGCAAAATTATTATATTATATGTAAGTACCATAATTTATCCAGATCAATACTGAAACACATCAGGTTATGTTTTCCTAAAATGAACAATACTGAGACGAACGTCCTTGTATATAGGCATCTTCTTGTACTTTTGCTGTTATTCCTTGGGGTAAATGCCAAAGTGTAGAACTGTGGGGGCAAAGAGTTAAGCACATCTTAGTTTGATGGGTCTTGCCAAGGTGTTCTTGCTGAGCCATGCCAACCTGCACTTCCACCAGAGGTCACGAGGTCTTTCCCCTTACCCTCGATGGGTTTTCTCCAAATTTGCCCTTTCCTGCTTATTTCCTTTCAAATATTTTTGCTAGTGAGGTTGAGCATTTTTTCATAGGGCTTTGTAATCCTTCCCGTGTAGTGTGATGTTTTATGTTCTTTGTTCATTTTTCTAATTTATTTTTTCTCTAGATTGGAGAAATGAAGACAGAGATCACTAAACTACATAAAAAATTGTTTGAACAAGAAAAAAAGTTGCAAAACACTGTGAAGCTTTTGCAGCTGAGCAAGCGCCAGGAAAAAGTCATCTTTGATCAGTGTGAGTGAGTGTGGGGCTGACTGCTCTGCCTGCCTTCCTGCCTCTGAGGGCTCCCAGTTCAGCTCTGGATTACCCACGCTAGAGCCCAGATTGTTTGTAATCATGCCTCTCATTTGTGGGTTCCTTTTCATACTCCATCCTTGTGACTCACATGGACAAGTGTATTCACTTAACACACCTTTGTAGAGCGGCCCCTTGGTGCCAGGGACTGTCATCTCACTGGGAGACAGTCGTGTGGCATGTGCAGTGATGGGATCATGCAGCGTACTGGGGTGGGAGTGGGGTGGCCATCACTGTCCCAGGGAGGTGAGCATCTTAGACCAATTGACCTCTGCACTGAGTGTGAAGGGAGGAGTAGGCATTGTCAGATGGAGTGGGGAGTGGCTGTCCAGTGGGGAAGAGCGTGGAGAGAGGTACAGAGGCAAGAAATGGTTTTGTATGTCAGAAACCAAAACCAGTCCCTATTGGTGGGGTAAAGCCTGCAAACAGTGGATTGAGGCGGGAGTGCTTCACGAAAGACTAGGTGGCAGGCTCAGGGCAGAGGATTGACGTGTTACATCTATGTGCAAGAATGGCTCACTGGTGGCTGCTTCACCAGTGAGGAGGTGGCTGACTCCCTAGTCAGGCAGGAAAGAAGGCCCTTAGCCATGACACTGGGGATCCAGAGGAGGGCACGGATTTGAGAAATACTTCTCAAGGCAGATGCTGAGACTCAGGGTCGGGTGAGGTTGAGTAACTTTTGTAAGGTCAGTCCCATTTCCGATCTAGCCACTTTGGAGATTGTATGGGAGCAGCTCTGTTTCCCGGTTTAAACCCTCAGCACTCCCTCCCACTGCATGTTTAGAGGAGCAGGCGGCAGCTGAGTTTCCAATAGTGCCTGTTGTCAACATGGCACCGGCCAAGCCTGTGCTGCCTGCATGTCAGTTTCCCTGTCTTAGGAGAACTGCTGACTGTAGCACTTTCCCTCTGGAGGTGCCAGCCTGCCTTGTGCGTCTCTCTTATCAAAGTCCAGCATTTCTGAGAAGCACAGAACAGAGATTATTGCCAAGTAGGAGTTCTCCTTAGCCACACCTGGGAACCTTCTGAAAATAGACTCTGAGACTGGCACCATTTGAACTGCAAAAGAGAGAAGCTCAGCCACTGAGCAGGCACTGAATTTCTGTTCTTTGCCCCTCATGCCAGTCTCTGGGGACAGAGGTGAACAAGACAGTCTTTGCCAGTGAGGGTTGTGGGCTTAATGTAGGAGACACAGAGCTTAGCTGCAGGATGGTGTGCTGAGTGCATCCTAGGAGACCTGAGCGGTGGTTCAAGACTGACTGGTTCTTGAGGGATGACTAGGAGTTCGTCAGCAGCGCAGGGGCAGGAATAGGATCCTGGCAGATGGCCCTGTGACCTTGTTGCTATGCTCCAGGGGTGAGAGAGAACTGAGTGCCCAGGGACATGCTTAGGATATGCAAAGGGTTTTCCTGTGGGAGATGAGTGAGGGGGGTAAGCAGGAACCAGGTTTCAAGGAGCCTTGTGGACAGGACTCCAGAATGAGCAGCAGGGACTGGCGGGGTCCATGCGTGTATTAGAAGATCCCATGGCTGAGCTTGGAGGGGCTAGGAGGTCCGGAAGACCTCTTTGGGGGCTGCAGCAGTCTCGCAGGTGGGCAGTGGTTCAGGACTGTCAGGGAGAGGGGATGGTTTTGAAAGACTGTAGGGAAGTCAACCTGGCAGAGTGGCAGATGTCTCTGGGGTTCTGGTTGAGGACTTTGTGTCCCTCGTAGAGTACCTGGAGGGAGACAGTGCTAGCTGCGATCATGCTAAGGCAGCTGTGGAGTATTTGGGTTAGACACATGGGTGGGAAGCGATGCTCTGCATAGGTTTAGGAGAAGGCAGAACTCTGCATTGGCACCTCTCCTCCTCAGCAGCTTACGACCCTGACCAGTCCTAGGGCAGGTAGCTAACCCTGTTGACAGGTGAGGAAATTGCAGAAGTAGGTTCAGATGGGTTGATTACTGTGGGGGGTCAGAAGGACAGAACCCAGGCTCCCTGTGTCCTAGGTCAGAGAGCATGGAATTATTGATTGAGCACAGTTAAAATCTCTACTCTCCTATGTGACCTGCATTCGACTAAAACCCTAAGCTTTAAATTCCTCATCTCTAACTGGAGACACGAATTCCAAAGGACTCAGACTAGATAGTTGTGCCTGGGTTCAATAGCACCCAGTTTTTTTTTATAAAAAGCACCGCAGTTTTCTTATCTGTAAAATAAGAATGATAATGCTACCTAAACTATACTACTTAGCACAGTCCCTGGCACAGAGATGAGGTTCAGCCAGTCTCTTCCTCTCTCTTTCCATTAGGCCAGACCAAATCCTATGCATGGAGGTGGCAAATCATTCATAGTAAGAAGAACCACAAATGTCTCATAACATTTCCCCGCCTGAGCTGGTGTTGCCCGTCTCCATATCTCCTAGGCCTGGCACAGAGCAGGCTTGACCAGAGCAGGGTGAGGGGCTTGCCCCAGGCAGCACAGCTGGTGCCTGACCTGGGGCCTGCAACTCCTCCTGTGCCAGGCTCTGCATCTCCTTCTGAGGAGTCAGGTCCTCGGCGGTTCTCCAAGCCCTGTGGACCTCACTGACCTGCTCTGGGTCTAAAGGGACTAGGTGAAAGTTAGGGTAGCACCTCTTCCTCTGTCCCCCCGTGATGATGGGGAAGAGCAAATGCCAGGGCTGATTTTTGCCTGGTTAAGTTGACACTATATCTTCTCTCAGAGTCTACAGGGAAAAGTAAGGAAAGGGCATCCCAGTGGGACGCTGAGAGTCCTGATGCCCTGGGGCAACTCATTGGCCACGTGACCTGGAACCAGCTACCTCACTTTGAAGCCTCAGGTTCTCATTTGCAAAGCGAGGGCAGTAGTTCTGCCCCATAGGGTGGGGGAATATTCAGTTGGAAACCACTTGTCACCAGGTCAACACTGCTCCACTCAGGTCGATACCTTCTTCCCTGCACCCTGCTAAGGTGGGAAGAACCGTGGACTGAGCTAGACAGGCCTATGTGTGAGTCCCATCTCTGCACTGGGGCCAGTATAGATTTGGGACAAGTCCTTCATTGCTGTGTCCCTCGATCTTTTCCTTGAAGTGGGAATTTCTGTGCTTTGAAACGTGACAGTGCTGTTCAGGTGTAGGGGTCCCCTCAAAGCTTGAGCCAGGTGATCCTTAGTTCTTCTGCCACGAGCTTTGTTCTCTATGTACATGTAGTGTTCTTTCACAATTATCTTTAACCGCCACAGCTGTGATACTTAATCCTTTCTGGGTCACAGGCCCCTTGGTGAATCTGGAGAAAGCTATGGTGTCTCTCTCTCTCTCTTTCTCTCTCTCTCTCTCTGGAGAAATGCAGACATCTAGACCACACCCACGTTTGCACACAGTGTCTGAGGATTTAGGACTGACTCCCCAAACATATCCGTGGCCCCATGTCAAGAACTTCCGCCCTGCAGCAGAGGTTGTGTTGGGGTAGAGAGGCAGTGGCCACCTCTGAAAGTTGTTTTTCTTAGCTAAAAACAAAGTCCACACCATCTGTCCCATCCCCAGTGTCACAGATTGCAAATAAACTCCATTACCTCCAGATGGGAATTTTTGTGAGGCAAGAAATAGATTTTCTCAAGGGCACCACACAGCACCTATTCTGAAGAAGCCACTGGGGAGTCGGGCTGTGTGTGTTGGGCGTGAGTCTGGGACAGCTTCTGGCACTGTTGGCTAAAGGCGTGGCTCCAGAAGCCTTCGATGTTTCCTGAATGGGGAGTAAGCTGATTTTCTGACCCCTGCTGAGAACAGATTCCCTGTCAGGCTTAGAACTCTGATCAAGAGGGGCATTCTTGCTACTGCTGGCATTTGTGTTGGACAAGAAAAAGCCTGAAGGAAGAAGCCACCTTACTTTACAGTTGCTCCTGAAAGCCAGGGCTTGCCCACCCCTTCCAAGAATTCTGATACAGTGGGGATCTGTCTAGTACACTGCTCCTTCCAAGAATTCTGATACAGTGGGGATCTGTCTAGTACACTGCTCCTTCCAAGAATTCTAATACAGTGGGGATCTGTCTAGTACACTGCTCTGGGCATCAGCATTGTCAGGGAGCTCTGAAACCATCCCACCCAACCAGCTCCTGTCCAGGCAGAATGTGACTTGCACAGGGGAACCAGGCTGGGCTATTCCACCACCTAAAGTGCAGGCAAAGGAGAAGCAGCACGCCCATGATTCTTTCTTTCAGGCCATTCAGAGCTGGCTCTAAGAGCTGCTTGGTAAAAACCTGGCTTTGTAGGACTTGGACCCCCATATGTGGTTTGTCTGATCAAGGCACAGTCCCTTCTCACAGCTGCTTCCCAGAGGGCCTAGGAAACCAAAGGGTGCTGGGCAGGCCCAGGCCTCTACCCTCCCAGTGCCATTGCCCTCCCTGGCCCACAGAGGTGAACCTGAGGGATACTTGGGAAGCCAGTTAGCCATGCAGATCTGTGATGGTGTCTTCTGTGAAATGCCATAGCATGCGTTAGCCTCTGCATCACTGTCAGGTGGTGGCTTTTTGGGGCCTTCAAGAGGTGTTGTTGATAGGTTATTTATTTGGTCTGGGGTATGTGATGGGTCATGTGGGGCCTTCGTACCTCCCTCTGGTCTGGATGCTTCAGACCACATGTTATCCACATGTCTGAGCCCTTTGGGGTGGGGCTTATCCTCCCTGCACTTGGCTTTCACACTGCTCTCCTGGACATTCACGCCCCTAATCATCACATTCTTTGCTCTCTCCTCAGTGGTCGTAACCCACAAAATCCTTCGGAAGGCCAGAGGAAACCTGGAGGTATGCCCTTTGAGTCTTGTCACTGCAGGCCATGTGGAAGGTTGGGTGGGGTGCAGGCCCAGAAAGGATCTCTTGAAAAATGAAGGTGCAGGTGGAACCAGGGGATATGTCCTCCTCAGAGTTGTGTGTTTCTCCCAGCAGTGCATGAAAAGTTGTGTTTTATCATGCCATGTCACCAGTGGGGGTTCTAAGTTTTAAATTTGTGTGCTATTTTTAACAGTAAAAAATGCAGCAAACAGTGCTTGGCACATAGTAGGCATTTGATGAATATTTCTTGAATGAATGAATGAATACAGTATGATCTCATTGTCATTTTATTCAGTAAATATTTACTCATCAAACAGTATGTCTTTGAAAGCACTTTCAGAATAACAATCTCGCATTTACCTCTGTCAGGGATCTGACTTCAGAAACCTCTACTGGACTTAAAATTCTCCTTTTTTTCCCTCTTTTCCTAGCTTAGGCCCAGGGGTGCCCATCCAGGAACATGCAGTCCCAGCAGACCAGGCTCCTGAGGAGAACTTTCAGCCAATAAAGTTTGTGCTTCCCCCACTGAGCTTGCGCTGTCTCTTTCTTCCAAGCGTGGTTCCTATTTATTGAGGAAGAAAGAGCTGTCTGGCCAAAGGAAATCTATTTTTTCCCTTCGTGTTTTCTCTCTGAAAGTTGGCTTGAGAGTCATTGTCAGAAAGGTTCATATACTCCACAGCCGGGTGGTAAAAAGCCTCAAGCTCTTGCATGCTGCATTTCAGATCTGGGGCAGGCACCGGAGCTGAGGCTGGGCGCCTTGGTGGGCTTCAGGTCTTCCCCTGGGTTGCTTAGTACTCAGCCAGTGCTGCAGTTTGAAGATTCTCATTAAATGATTCATTTCATTTCACCTTGATGATTCAGTTGTTGTGTGGAGCCTCAAAGCCCAGGTCCCAAAATCCCAAGTGGGACTGGCCAGGGTTCCACGAGTCACATGACTCAGTGCTGAGCTCGCTCCGGTGTTCAGAGAAGCCAGCCCCGTGCAGTGTGGCCGTGGGCACTGGCATGTGCTCAGCATCTGGCAATCTGCTGGACAGCAGCTGGGGCATGGCATTTGCATTGCTCCCATGATGACTGGGGTGTATCATCAGCCGCCTCTGACCAAGATGCCCCAGCCAAAATATTTTAGCGGCTTCCCGCTACCCTTGATCCAAGCCTGAGCCCCTAACGAGGTTTACAAGCCTTGCTGGCACCTCCAGCTCCTCTCCCTTCCTGCCTCCTCCCTCTCTACTTTGTGTTCTGTGCAAATGGAACAGTGTTCTCCCCAGCCTAACCCAGGCTGCGCCCTCTTGGACTTACTCCTCCCACCCTTTTTCTTTCTACTTAGCTTTGAATGGTCCTTTAGAAATATTTTTTGGGCCCTTTGGGAAGCCTCTCCTGACCTGATACTAGGTGACATGCCCCACATCTGCTCCCACAGCCCCCACAGCACTGTTTGTGAATCCTTTGAGCCCCTGGAGAGCAGAAGCTTGTGTTGACCACGGAATTGCCAGTGTCTGGCCTGGCACCCAGCTCCCCAGATACAATGGTGAGGGGAGGAGACGGAATTGCCTCGGCTGGAAGCGCAGAGTGCAGCAGCCTAGATTGGGAGTCCAGGGAGTGGCCTCATGCCAGGTACCCCACTTAGCCTGCTTCCCCATCCATTAGAGAGGGGCAGGGGCAAGTGGGCAGTACAGACCCTTTCGGCTTGGGTTCCTACCATCTGTGCTCTTCCTGAGAAATATTTGCACAGATGTTCCTCAGTTTAATATGTATCAGTGTATGGAAACTCAGATTAAGCCATAATGTCACTGGAGTGCGTTTTGCAAGCAGTCGCACAGTTGACTTCCTAAATGGAAGCTGGGTGGGCTGAGGCTCCAGGTCAGTGTGGTGCTGTGGAGCAGGCAGCCTGGTTCCAGTCTGAGTCTCATGCTTCTGTAAATGAGAGTTACTGTTGCCCAGTACTGTTACAGAATTGGGAGCCTCGAATTTTGGAAGCAGCTGAACAACAAGACCCTTTCCACAAATTAGTGACTCTTCTTCAGTGTCTCAGTGGCTGCTCTTAAGTTTTAAAATCCTGTTTTAAGTTTTATGGCTATGTTGTGCCAAGCCCCTATTAACCTCAGTAGAGAAGGCACCAGGTTCAACAGGTCTGAGAAGAGACCCAAAGCCAACAAAAGAGACGTGGGCTCTATAGGGGGCTTACATACAGGGGGACAGTCCAGAGGCAGCAGGCTGGACAGGAGAACTGCTTTTTGGTCCAGTGGCAGCGGCTGAACAACATAACCCACGGCCAGTGGCAGCAGGTAAGGCAGGAAAACCTCCCCCGCTTATTAACAGCATGCAGTTTATTATAACATTTTCACTTAACCTTCCCCCAGTGACCTCTACCTGGGAACCTTCTTTTAACCCAAAACTCAGGGCCTCAGTCCCCCATATAGCCTGTGTCCCATGAGACGGGCTGGGAGCTCAGATACTCCTCATAGACAAGGAACAAATCTCCGGCTTGGCCACTCCTAGATTCTCTAGCTCGTAACAACATTCAGACTCTCGTCTGTCACAAAGGGTCATTCTAAGGGTATGCTCAAACAATTGCTATCAGGGCGTTTACCCTCCAGGCAGATGTGCACAAATGGAAGTGTGTGTGGTTGGGGCATGGTGGGGAGGGGAGCAGCTTGTACAGTATAGTTGTTATAGCTCAGGCCAGGCTTGGAAGTAAGACCTGGGCTCAGATGCCCCTACAGGGGAATAGCCCTACCTTGCCTGGCACATGGTCAGTGCACAGACCATAGGATCTGAACTTGGTTGTTGGCAGGGGCTTGAGTTGGAGGGGTTAGAGGAGAGATCCACATTGGATTCTGGTACATCCCAGGCCCGTCTGGTTGGTGAAGCCAGGCATGCCTGGGAGCAGGGCCTGCAGAGGAGGAGGCTCTGGAAGCCCAGCTGGCCATTTGCTTCAGGTTACCCACAGCTTTTCAGGAACACAATAATCTAAAACGAAGTGTATTTTTGTCCCCAGTTTAGAGTCATGTAAAATACCTTCAACCTTGGGCTGGTGAAGGCCCTCCCTCTTCTGGGAGGTGGAGGAGCAGCCTGGTTTGTTTGGGCTGGATTAGTGCCAAGAACAAACTCTGCAAATAAGGCAATTTGGACCTTGGAGAAAGCTCCATTGTCCCTGGTGAGTTAATTTTACCAGCAGCTGAATTCAGGAGGCTTTGAAGCAGTAATCAGAAAATGCGTCAATTTCCCATCGGTGAAATTAATCACCACGTGTGCTGGAGGAGCTGCACCTGAGAGAAACAGCTGCAGGGACTAAATATATAGTGAGAGAAGGAGGGGGAGAGGGAGACAGGCCCCGGGCCCCCTGCTTGTCCTACCTTGAAAATGGTGCTTTGATCTCACTTCTGAAGCCCACCTCCCTACATCCCTATCAGGAGCCTGGAGAGTAAAATCCTCGCCCCCCTCTGGCTGGCGCTCACCTGGATAGCAGTAGGCACACTGTGCATCTCAGTAATCTGCACCACCCCCCCATTTACAAATGAGAGGACCGAGGGATGGAGCCAGAATTTGAACTGATATCCCTTGGATGATCAGCACTCCCCCCAAAACGCCATCTCTTCGAAAAACTGCAGTGCTTCCCTGTGTTAACAAATCGAAGTATTCTCATTCTACCCTTTCCAGCAAAATGTCTGGATGACCAGAGCAGGGGTCCAGAGACCCACAATTGAATTCCTCAGCACAGCAGCCCGAGAACTGCTTGTAACTGGGTGGTGGAAGGGAGAAAGAGTGATCTTGTTAATAAGTTCTTAGCATTGTGGAAGCTGAGAAACCTGCCTGGGGGATTGGGCCCTGCCAAATTGCCTCTTCAATCTTGGCTATATTTTAAGTCTAACTCAAGAATGCAATTATCAAAATTACTGATCCCATATGAGAAGGCTAGGACTCTCCCTCAGGGGCTAGACCCATTTACCTCTTGCCACAGATGGGCGCCAGTTGGGGTGGGGGTGGGTGGATCCAGAGACTCAGGCCCCCAAGGTGGGGCCTTCTGATGGAACCAAACCCCAGTTTCTTTGTCTGCAAAATTATGAGATGTGGAAAGATAAAGATAAACAATGGCTAACTATGAGGCCCGGACATCGGCCAAATTGCTGGGGTTCATCCACTCACCTCAGTTAAGGGTCAGCCTCTGGCCAGCAGTAGTACATGCTGGAGACATCCTTACACCTTCTCCCACTCCCTCTCCATATCCCATCCATGATGAGGGCCACTCTCTCCAGTTTTATCTCCCAAGGCTACTGCTTCGTTCATCTCCACTGCCACCTCGGTTCAAGTGACCACCTCTCACCCGGACAGCTTGCTGTAATAGTTTTCCAGTTGGCCGACCACATCCACCTCACCTCTCTGAATGTCTGCCATTCCACAGCTAGAGTGACTCTTTAAAAGGTAAAGTAAATCATATTATCCCCCGATTTAGAATGTGAGGTGTCTCTCACCACACCTAGTGTGGCCAGCAAGCCCTTGGTTTCCTGAGTCCTTTTGTCCACCCTCTTGGCTCCTTGTGCTTCAGTCTTGTTGGGCTTTCGTCTGTGGCCACAGGACCTTTGCACATGCTGCCCCCTGCCCAGCATGCTCCCACTCTGGCTACTCTTGCTAGTCAGAAACAGCTTCTGGATCTGGAGCCCCTATTCTGTGTGGTCAGAGTGTGATGATCCCCCCACTCACTGATGCTTGGCCGCTGTGTGGCTTAGGGTTGTGTATGCAGTTGTGATGTTTTGGGTTATGGCTCTCCCCGTCATTGACCTGAAGCTCATGAGAACATAGACCCCCACACAATTTGCTCACCACACCAGCCCTGCTGCCTGGCACAGGGCCAGTAAATATAGTTACTCAGCAAACATCCCCAGAGCTTCTCCCACCTCCTGGAGGAACTCAGGTTGGTGGGGAGAACAGACAAGTAATATAGCTAATAGGGAACACTTGCTTAGACCTGGGGTCCTGGGAGCCTAGCTGTCTTTGGAACATCATCACAAGCAGTCATTCTGACAGCCCTGGCTGGGAGGGACTGCTCTTTTCATATGAAGGACTGGGGCACAGAGTGACCCGCCCAAGATCACACAGCTTTGGATGGAGGCCTATGGGCTGCAGAGCCCAGCTCCGACTGCTGCGTGCAAGTGCAATTCAGTATGGTGAGTGCCCAGGCTGCTGGCCAGGCTGGAGTGGGGCCCACGCTGGCAGCATCTCCTTCCACTTGTGGCCCGCTTAGGCGGTTCCTGCCAGTGATCCAAAGCCCAGCCCTGCCCCCTGGAGGGGCCGCTCTCTGGGCCTCATCCTTGCTGGAAGGCAGGCAGTTGGTGCTTCTTCTGACTCATCCTTTTAGACTTCTTTATTCTCAGAGTTGCCCAGTCCCTTCGGTTCCCGTTGACCCCATTCCCAGGGAAGCCGCCAGTCCTGCCTGACCCTAGAGGGCAGCGCTGGGCAGGGCTCACCCTTCCGACTGGATCACAATGGGACTAAGTGCATGGTGGTTACCAAGCGCCCTCCCACACGCGCCTCTCTAAATGCGAAATCACGTCCTTGTTAACAGGCATTCACAGGAGAGCTTAATTACATGTTTTCAGGTCTAAAACGATCCTCTGTTTGTATTAATGCTACTTTCTCCTTCCAAACAGAACAGCATGTGGTTCCAGCTTGTGTGTGACACTGGCCGACTGTGCAGGCAGACACAGGGAAAAAAAGAGAATGAGGTCACCCTGGCCTCGCCCTCCTCTTTAGCCAAGACGACAGTGGGGTCAGGGGCCACAGACAGAGTGACCAGGCCCAGGGCTCCTTTGTGGTAGAAGCCAGTGGTTGGGAGCCCACCTGGAGAGTGTG